AAAGCGTCTTCCTCATCTCGAAGAGTAACTGCGCTTTTATCAATTACAAAACGGAGGCCGCCTGTGCCGCGGCATTGTCAAGGTTCAACGATTCTAGATTCCATGGAGCACGTCTTGTATGTCGGCTACGCCAGGGGGCTGTTCCTCTGGGGTCTAATGCTGAAGCTATGGGTTCTTCTACCCCTGCTATATATCAGGATGAAGAAACCAAGTTATCGGACGCTGTGACTGAGAACAAGGCTACAGAAGGTAGCCTTTCGCACAGTCGAGTCCCTAGCAGATACTTCATAGTCAAAAGTTTAACTGTTGATGATCTCGAACTCAGTCGACAGAACAACATCTGGGCCACTCAAACTCATAATGAGAAGCAGCTAAACGAAGCTTACGAGGTGAGCTCTGTGCCCCCACCTATTATATCCATATCAGTAGGGGAGAATGATCGGTCGCTGACAACTCAACCAGAATGCTGATGATGTCTATCTCATCTTTTCCGCCAATAAGTCAGGTGAATATTATGGATATGCCCGTATGATGTCGCCGATACAAGATGACGAGAACTTGGCGTTGGAGATGCCCTCGCGGTTGGACAACCCCCCGGATCCCGAGACTCTAGACGTGACGCCCACTCCAGCAACATCCACTGCGCCTAACGGACGAATAATCAATGACTCAGCGCGGGGGACCATATTCTGGGAGGCGGAAACCTCAGAGGATGAGAGCGGTACGAGCAAGGAGAAGGAGAAGGAGAAGGAGAAGGTTATTCACGAAAAACCGGAAGAAGCTACAGATACGGGGGCACAATTGATTGGGAAGCCGTTCAGGATCCGATGGCTCTCGACTACACGAGTCCCTTTTCATCGTACGAGAGGGTTGCGGAATCCCTGGAACTCGAACCGAGAAGTGAAGATCGCTCGCGACGGTACGGAGATCGAGCCGGAGGTGGGGTGGAAACTTTTGCAGTTATTCCACTCTCAGCCTCAAGACTAGGACGCAATGCATATCCTTCAGAAAAAAACGTGAGAAGGAATGTGAACACCGCGAGGAAGACTTGAACATGCATAGGCGAAGAGAAAGGGACAGAGTGGGAGAAAAGGGGAGAACAGATGGTTTGGGATGCTGAAAAACGAATCGTCCGGCGCCATACTGTTGCAGCCTGAGTTGGTACTGCCCCGAGGGACCTTTCCCATCTCACTGGGAGTGTGTCGAAAGTGGACATGCTTCACCCGGAGTATGTCTGCATTTAGGGCCACACGCCCTCTGATTTCCGGATAGGGAAACACACATCCTGAGGACTGGCCAAAGACCAGAGGTATACGAACAACTCCTCAATCACCGTGGCCGAGGTAAGACAGTATACGTACCTTATCTACGCCATACTATATAGAAAGCTATACTTCATTTAAAAAAAAAACGAAGAATAAAAAAAAAAAAAAAAAACAAAACAAAAACAGACATGGTCTGGAATATAGGAACGGAAGCAGAAAAAACGTGTACAGATTTGACACATGGTATATAACTATTGGTATTCTTTCTAGCTCAATATATCTATATATATACATATATGTAGGCAGCATTTCCGGACACAGCTCTGATAAACGCAGAACAAGAAGATCAATATATACATAAGTATAGTGACTTCCACAAAAGAGTAGGTGAAACCCAAAAGGCTTCGTGGTCAGTAACGGAAGGCACTAGTGAAGTGCAGACTGTTTATCGAGAGGACAAGCAATGGATATAGAGACTAATCATACAAATAACTATCCGTACATCAGTGGAAGGATACCGTATTATCATACATACGCGCTTCGAACATGCAGAGTTATACCCTTACGTAACATACCGGTTTACATGATATATTTCGAAGGAACAATAGTACGGAGTAAGTAAGGTATTTACTTTTGGCATACCATGCATACCAAACATGCCGCATCCTTCCTACCCTTGCCTACTTGAGTTAATAAAACAATATCCAAAACAGTGCTAGGTGATAGTAACCTTCTTCTTCTTCTACTTCCTCTCTAGCTTCATCTATGGGCAAGGCGAGAGGATCGTCGACTGTGAAGAGAACAGACCACTGGTACAACGTTAGGTAGGAGCTACTCCAATTGCTAGTCTACAAATTAGTCTACTAGGATTATGGACGGGGCGACTCATGAATCATCGACCCCGGATCGTCTTGTCTGGTTCACCGTTCAGCTGCACCCTGCCCAAGAAGGCTAGACCCGTTCTGGCCCACGGTCAAGAGTCAATCGAGACGGTTTTGTGGGGTAAAACTTCCCAAGCTTTCATTCCTTTCCTTTCCCATCCCCGGCTTGTTGTTAAAGGTCCCATCCCTCTCCCTTAATCTTTCCCCCCTCCCCTCCCCTTCCCACTGGAATCATCCCGTTCCTCCTCCTCCTCCTCTTCTTCCTCCCCTTCCTCATCACCAACCGTTTGTCAGGTTGTTCTTCCCAAGATCCCTGCCGGCTACGGCCTGGCTCCTTTTTCTTTCTTTCTCTTTTCTTTTCTCTTCCCTTTCTCCCTCTTCCTCACTTCTTCACTTCTTCACGAGCCACGGCTACTCTAAAGCTTACTGACTTCAACCACTCCCCTTCAAATCATTCCTTCACGAAGCTTCCCCTCCATCATCTGATCCAAGAGACACCAAATACAAACATTCCTCTCAGTTCTAGCTTACTACCCACCTTACCACTACCATCATCTATATCAGGTATTGGGGGGCATTGGGTGTTGCATATCTCCAGTAAGTTGGCTTAGCTCATAACAAACCGGTAGTTCAATCTATTATTTGTTCCCTACTAGCACTGAGTCTGGACTCCCTTCACTTGCATCCTCCCTTGTGTAGTGTCCTATTGCACTCAAACGCTAGTTTTCTTGGTTCTCTGTTCCTTTTGCTGCTCGTACGCGGTTCCTATGTGATAAGATGCCCCCTCAACCATTTCCACTTTATTATATTGCCACCGCCACATGGAAGGTCCCATTTATGGGTTCTTCGCTGAATATCTCCCTCCAGCTGACATTCGCCGGTACCTCCATCTAGGCTCTTAATGGGGGTTGTTCTGCTGCCTCTGCCGTTGCTCTCCCTATCGAAGCGGCTACCAGATTGACGTCATAACTTGCGGTATCGATCTGAAGGCTCATCAATATCTCATTCCAATTCCAGTCTACTCTTCTTCATAGTAACTCTAGTTTCGGTACATCTATTACCCATTCCACCTAGTTGTACCCTTGTCTGGGGAGACTAGATATTTTCTTTTCTCGCCTTATACTTGGCTACCTGTCCTCGTCCATCTACTTTTCCTTCTATACGTGTGCTTGTACTTGTGATAATCATCCTGGGATCATCGACAACCCATCTGTTACCATGTCAAACGACCGTTCAACATCTCCCATTTCGGTTCCAACCCCATCATCGCGCCAGCGTCGAGCATCTCTGGCATCCGGAATTTCCTTTTCGGATTATCTTTCAAGATCTGGGAGCCAAGGAGCTGCCGGTGCACCACCTGGCTCCATGGCCAATGCAGTCGCTGGCAGTCAGCCGAATCAGGGACGACGACTGTCGATAACCACATTGGGACTCTCCGGCTCTCCAACCCAAACTTCTCCCTTTGGACCTCGACACATCCGTCATGGGAGTATCTCTAGTTCCGTGGGATCCAATTCGGCAAACCTAGAGGAAGCCGTTGTGGAAGACAACGAGAACGGGCCTCCCAACGCCACCCCTAGCTCTCCATTCACTCGACGTCTCTCCTTTGGTGCACAGGCATTGCGTGATGCCCGTGGAGGAAGCATTGGTAATGGTAGATATCCCTCTTCTGCATCTCAGGTGGCTGGAGGGCGGCGCAATTCGTCGTTGACCAGCACACCCTCTGCCCCCAGCCCTACAAACTCAACTGTTGCAAGTACATACAAAGCCTTTCCCCAGAACGATAGGTCTAACGCGTCTTGGCGACAAGTAGGCGAAGGCTTCAATTGGTCTGAGGCCTTGCGGACTCGGGCCGAGCGAGCGCCATCTTTGGGCGTTATGTCGCCTAATTCACCTCAAAGCCAGCATGCAGTCAATATGGGTCACCAGAATCACCATCAGCGGGCTGCGTCAATTGCCTCGATGGAACAACCAGCTCGAGAAATGCCAAAACAGCCCAAGCAGAATAAGCCTGATTTCTTCCAGGAAAAGATCCTTCGGGGTGATTTCATGGACTAAGGCTGAGGGCTCGTTTTCTGATTCTAACATCTTTGCTTACCCGCTTTTTTATTTGTCATTTCTCTCCTTCTTTCCCTTATTGTATGTCGTCTTTGCTTTGTGCGTCTGGTTTCAGTTCTTCCTTGTCCTCCCCTCTCTGGGAAGTGCACCGAAAAGCTGTGAGGTTTCTCACAAGACCAGAAAAATAAAAATCAGAAGCGAGATCTTGATGGGGGTGGGGGGAGTGGAGAGAAAGAAAGAGAGAGAAGAAGAAAAGAACAAACCGTTGATTTGGACAGCCCCATCGCGGCGGCTATCTCATGGATTGCTCAGTCACTTGACAGGAAGGATTTCCCTACTGTCGCATGGATGTTGACATGATCTACAAACTCTAACAAATATTTCCTTTAGCACGCATATTTACGTGAATTTTCTTGTCTCTGCATCAGTTTTCGGGGATTCCGTTCGCGTGCGGATGATTTCATCATATTCTCTCCATTTATGATTTGATTTATTCTGGGTCCTGCTGGTCAGACCCACTTATGATTATTATCCTCGGGCCCCTCAAATTGCCTGCTATGTGATACTGTCCGTTATTTTGAATCTGATTCATGTTCTGGGTGTATCTGAACCTAAAAGAGGAGTCTAAGTGCCTGAATTATATAACAACAGTATATGATACTATTTGTTGATACCCGTGTATATGCAACTTTCCGCGACTGCTAGTGCAGCAGCACTTATATCACTCTCACCGACATTAAACGCATGATATTTAGGCTTATGTAGCACTATTTTTTTCAGGTTTTCATCAGCACATGTCTCCATGGTGTAGTGGTTATCACGTGGGTCTCATACGAGCAAGTGTATGACTTGAAGGCTTCAACCTTCAGGAAATCCCAAGGCCGGGAGTTCGATCCTCCCTGGGGACAAAAGAGAATATCATTTTTTTTTTCTTTTTCTTTATTTCCTTTCTTCCGTTCCCTTCTTCCCTTCCCCCTCCCAGCCCATGACATGCTTATTATTCACATCTTAAGTATTCATGTTTGAATGTTGTTATATAGACTCAAGGTCGGTGTGGCTCAAGACCATTCAATGGAAAGGGAACAAATACATGATGAGGTTAGTGGAATGAGACACCCAATTCCATCATAGTAGGATTTCTTCCGGTTGGACATTGTGAATATCTAATTACACAGAAAATGCCGTGAACTTCAAAAAATTCTATGACTCCAGGTGCTAGTTAACCGTAGTACATACATAGTTGATGCACGACCACTCGGTTGTTGGGTCGCCTAGTGCATCGTCCGCTAGACTAGTACTATATATATATATATTGCCAGCCCATCGGGAGCCCAGATTAGATCAGTAGCCAGTACTACCCATATCCCAAAAGGGAGGAAGAACGGGGAGGGAGGCCATAAAGACCGGAAATAGAATCCACGTTGGTAGACGACAGGGTAGGTAAGGTGGAAAAGGGATTTGGTGAAGCATCTAGTTGGCTACAGCGAATGATCACCGATATCGCCCTTTAAGAAACTCCAGGGAAGTGGAAAAGGATTGTGAGGGAACGCGCTCCCATATGAGCCTGACTACCCACCTATCAGTTACTGTGAGTAACCTGATCTATTTTTGACTGGAGGGGGAATTCCGAGTCGATCATGATCATGCATACGTTGAATGCATAGATAGCAGGCAAGATCTGGTAAGTGTATACTATACATACATTCATCTGCCTACTGCGAGACCGAGGATTCTTATGAGAGATAACTGCTTGTATAATGTGTGCCGGACGGCATCATATATGCATTTTTCGGCCTAGGCTATTAAGTATTCGCAAACCGAATTGCAGGTAATCTAAAAGCTCAAAGTAAACCAATGAATGGGTCACAGATGTCACTATTGATTTCCGGGGAGATGATGAGCCACCACTCGGGCTTTGCCCTTCACCTGAAAGCATACCACAAAGAGTGTTAGGGATAAGGGGTGTTGATATATCCTTGCTCCTCGATTGGACACTCGTCTGTTCCTAACTGAAAAGAGAAGTAATTGCAATGGGAATGGTTGCATTGATGAGGAGTTGGATGATCGACTCCATCTATATGAATAGCAGATACCCCAAGAGTAGCATGAAAGCCAAGCGGAACGAACAAAAAAGGCAAGGGAGGGCTGTGGCAGGAAAGCAGGACCTCCCACCCGCCGCGTTCCCTGTATAGAAAGAGCTCATGAGGCCTAATAGGGAATGCCATTGGTTAGAAGCTGAAATTGGTCATATCCCTTTGTCGAAACACTCATGTACGACTTGCGGACGAGCTCGCGCATATACTCAGCAGCTTCCCTCTCGGTTTTATCGAGTACAAATCGATCGCGGAAGTTCTTCAACGTATCCGGCTTGAAGCAGGGAAGACCGCTGTCAAGCATTAATGAGACGATGTGAGACAGCTTGGAACTGTACGGACGCGAAGCAAGGAATGCCTTAACGACCAGTGATTCAAACCACTTGTAAGGCTGCGTGCTTGTAGGGCTATGGGAACCACCACCGGGGAGACCGAGCCCACTACCTGAGCCGCTACCTGGATGGGTGTGTGCATGGTGAGTACCGCTCATCACAGCAACCATCTCAGATGTCAACTTGAAGGGGGCACGCTCGAATCGCACACCTCCTGGTGCAATATCGAAACAGAACCCAAAGTCAATATGGATGATGTGGCCAGCGTCGTCAACCATGATGTTCCCGTTATGCCGATCCTTGAACTGTAGGAGATAGGAGATAACAGAATAAGCAGCCATGCTCTTGACGAAGTTTGTGCGTGCTTCCTGGAATCGGATTGATTCCTCCCCTCCATACTTGGAAATAAAGTAGTCATACAGACCATTGACTGCCTCACGGCCCAGCATATCGCGAGAGATCGAATTCGGAAGCACATCAATAACGCCACAACCGGGGGCCGTTGAAGTAACTCGATATGGGAACACCCAAACATCAAGCCCAACGCTAGCGAATATGCCCCGAAAAGCAGCAATCATTTGCAAAGCTAGCATGTCTTGGCGGCAGTCATCACCGACCTTGAAAATGGCTGACTGCCATACTTCATAGGTCTCCTGAACCCCATTTGAAGATCGTCCATCACCGGCTTTTTGGGTGATTTTGTCATCATCTGACCGTGCCCTTGTTTTCTGGATCCTGAACGTCGCCATGTAGGGCGCCTTTGCATGGCTCTGGAGAGGTTTGCCGGATTTGCGATCGATCCCTACAACAACACCGTCGGGATTGCTTGGGAGGTATACGCCGACTTCCACCTTGATCTTACGGAGTTCTTCTTCGATCTTCTCCTTTTTCTCCGCCTTGCTTCTTTTGATGTAGGGTCGAAGCTTTCCGGAGATGCCCGTGATTTCATTGAAAAAAGAAAATTCTTTCTCATAAAACTCACGTTCCTCATCTGTGAAGCTTGAGATCAAAGCATCCATAAACTTGTCCAGTGTTGGCTTGAGAGGGTCCGGCTAATGTTGCTCGTTAAAAAGTATATGGACAGATAACATTCGGTTACACTCACAATTTGAGAATCTTCATCTTTGTAGGAGTTGGCTTTCATATTCCATATGACTTGATGCGCAAACAGCTGAGACAACTTAGCTGTCTCCATGATATATCTTTCTACGTAGCCCAGTGCATCGTATCGTAAAGCTTGGACCAGTTGTGGCACAAAGTAGAAACGAACATCGACTGAATGACTCTCGAGGGCTTTCATCGCATACTGCAGTATGAAGGGATGGTTCCCGTAGGTGGGCAGAAAGTAAGTCAGAGCTTCGGCGGGGTTGACAGGGGCCCAGTATAGAAGAAACTACCCTCATCAGTCCAAAATCTAGAATATATAAACGACGATTGACAAACCTTCAGCTGACTATGGACATCGGCAGGAAGAGCAGACCCAAAAATGACCTCAAGAGCACTTGGCTCATCGATAGCCTTGTCCGGAAAGTTGAGCACCAACCACCGGATGTCGTTTTTCAGCTTTAAAGACGGAAAGCGGGTGGAAAGATGTATGGCCAACCCTGGGGCTTCGGACCACGCCAGACGTAGCAGATTTGTTGCATCCTGCATGGGTTGTTAGTTACAACCATATATATCACGGGTATCGAACAGTATGCTTATTGACGAGATAACATACCTCTGTAAAAGTTCTGACTGCGGCTGACTGTGCCATGTTATGTTTCCGGTCTGGCTCCAAGGGATAAAGCCAGACCCTAAGGCGTGACCTTTCGTCCTCCAGAAGGATCTGGAGAAGCTCCTGTCTTGCCTGAAGCGTCCTAGAGGAGCTGCGACTGTGACCAGTAACGCCAGCCACATCCGCTAGAGCGGAAGAAACGTCGCCAAGGATCCTGTCCTCGGCCTTGATCTGTAACCGGTTGCCACCGAAAGACCACCTACACATCATCAGGCTTAGCATGAATAATCGAAAGTAGTAACCAGATAAAACGTACCTCGGTGGATGTCTAAACCAAGTTAAAGCGGCGGACAAAATCTGGTCCTTAAGCTTCCACTCAAGATTTCGGTCTGGTAACCGGGAGTCCTTCAATACCCTTAGACCGAACAAGACAATACGAAAATGTAGTTCCCTGGCCAGGGGGTGACCACTGGCGTGCAATAGTCCCACACTTGTTTTATCAACAAGACGGCCGAAAAGTGACTTGACCTGGAAGTTTGCAAGCCGAACAGCAGCAAAATGACTTTCAAAGAACTGAAGAAGCTGGAAATGAGGTGTTAGGATACCTTGGGATTTTTGTTGATTCTTCGCCATCAGAGCTTTGTCGCTGGGGAGCAGCTCGATCTTGCTGAACATTGGATCAACGTAGCTGTGTACCCCTGAATAAGCATTGATTCAGTAAGTGCTAGCAGACGATATTCACTTACTTGCAGTTTAGGTCAAACAGCCCCTTTCGGCGCTGGATTGACTTTTCCCAAGACCCAATAACTTCTACCAAGATTTTGGACTCCACTCTCGGATTCTCATGCATTACTCCGAGCCAAAGGGATATACCGATGTCCATCGACTCCTTCGAGAATATCTCAAAAGGTATCTGGACTAAGAACTGAGCAAGGAAAGCAGAAGGGTCATTATCACTGCATAGGAGGCCCGCAGCTTGCCGTAGCGCATCACGAACGGCGACGGTAGGGACGACTTCTCCTGATTTCAATCGTGCGTAGAGTTGATACAGGGTATCCTCCATGACTGTATTTGCAGACAAAAAAGACCCGGAAAGCATATTGTGAGCTGGTTATCCCATATTAGCACCTTGAACGCCCACCAGTTGAGATATGACCAACCACAAAGCCCACTAGTTCCTTGCCTTGGGCCACTGACACTTTGTGCGTACAAAGTTCTGTAGTTCTGACGTGTGGAATATTGAGAAATGAAGTCGGAAGCGACATTTATCTTGCTTAGGCCGTGGCTGTCCATTGAGCCTGGAAGAACATAGAAATATCAGAATAACAGTAGCTCACTCAAGACCGAAGTGTTGTCTTACCAAGACGTTGATCACTGCTCGGGATGAGTGATCCCATCTCAAGCGCAAAAGAGCGCCCCAACAGAATGTTGCCATATCCAGCATGGTCGTCCGAAAGGGACAGATATGTCTTGACAAATTGTGTAAGTCGCTTTCCAAGGCTCAAAATAGCTGGATATCATACCTGAAGTAGGCCTTTTACATCCAAGGGTGCAAGATCCATGGCCGCCGCTACCCATGTCTTAGATCGTTCAAGGAGAACATCTAATGTTTTTTTCCTAAAGTTATAGTTGTCGGGTAGATCGGCTTTGACCAACCCTGTAGGTGAAGTAAATGAAGGATTCCATTCAAACTCATCAAGCTCTCCTTCTAGACATGAGCGCCACATAACGGTCAAAAGCTCGAGCAAAGCGAAAAGGGAGTGCTT